AACTTTAGGGATCTTATCTATTCACGAACAGCTTGTAACACTCCAAAGAGAAAGGAAAACTTGAAATAGCATCATATGACCCCTTTAATTGCTTTTCAATGGGTGGAAAAGGTAGGGCAGGAAAAGGTTTTGATATGCTCTGATTCTTTATCAGTCTTGGCAAGTTTAAGGTCACTTCATTCAAAAGCTCGGCAAGATATTCTGTATGAAGTGCTTCAATTAAACACAAGAATAATTCATAAGGGATGTCAGGTCAAATTTATGTGGGTCCCAGCACATGTTGGAATTATGGGTAATGAGATGGCAGATAGGCTGGCTAAAAGGGCACTAACAAAAGAGAACGTAGAAATGCAGGTAAATTTAAGTAAAGCAGAGGTTAAATGCATAATTTGGGAGAAAATCAATAAAAGGTGGCAAGAGAGGTGGGACAGAGAGAAGAAAGGGAGGCACTTATACCAAATTCAAAGAAATGTTAAAGAGGATAGGGTGGTAATTGGAAATAGGAAAGAAGATGCAGTGATGACTAGGTTAAGGTTGGGACACTGTTCATTGAATAAAACACTAAAGATGATAGGGAAGCACCAGACAGGGTTGTGTGAGGGATGTCGAGAAGAGGAGTCAGTGGAGCTCATAATCATGACTTGTATGAGATATGAAACACAGAGGCAGGTAATGAAGAATAAGCTGAGGGAGACTGGGGTGCAGGAGATCACATTAAAAGGGTTGCTAAGCACAGTAAATAGGACACAGAGTGGAATATTGATTACATTCTTAAAGTCACCATGAAATCAAAATTGAAACGTTAACCTCCCCTCCCCCTCAAAACAACTCCTCTTCTCTTCCGGTCATGAGCTATGGAGCAAGGGCGGAGCTAGTGATGTGAGGGGTAAACGCTGGGATAAACGACGGGGGAAAAGCTGAAGCTAGCTGATGCTTCACTTTATAGCACTGACACCAGTCATGAGGGAGTACGTTACCCCTAAACATTGAAAAGATATTAGGATATTACAACAACATTACTCTTAGGACATCGCAAACAAATTTTTTTCATGAATATGACTTAACCTGATGGAGGACGCGCTCAGTCATTCAGGCAGTCTCTCTCTCTCTCTCTCTCTGTTTAGGCATGTTTTATGCCGTTGAACGTCGTCGTAGATGTGTAAATAGAGGTCTACACAACAAAGACCAACAAATGAATATCATATGAACTGAAAGTTTACAGACATTTCTAAGCATTTCAATTTACATTAAATAATCTCATGTTAATCATTAGGTAATGTTTAGTAAGTTCATTAGTAAACATTAACAAGAACATTCTCTCATATTTCTAGCTATCTGAATATATATTAACTAATCATCTGTTAAGCATTATATAATGTTTGTTAATGATTTATAAATGAAAGTTATTATAAAGTGTTACCAAATTGACTGTTAAAAGGACAGAATGAATAATTTTGTAAATGTACCTATTGGGGGTGGTGTTGAGGGATATCGTAGTTGTTACTTTTGTGCTTATTTTTACAGTATACTGAACACTAAATGCATAACAGTGTTAACCTTCTCATTAAGCATTTAACCAGACCAGACTGCAATATCTCCATAGTGGGGATGCTGTTGGAAAGAGTTGTCATGGAAACAGCATTGGATAGGATCACAGCATTATTTAGCGTGATGACAGCTCTTCACCAAATATTTGTTTAGAGGTTACAGTGAGAGTGTTTTGGAGGACAAATGCATATCTCATTATCCTAGAATGGTCTGATGTTACTTAGAACTCACACACACTTAAACATCCACTCAGGGTTTGTATCATCAGAAATAAGAACACGAATATGGTTTTAAATTGTTCAGAAAATCAGGTCATCATGGCTGTTGCATATATAGAGATGTACAGCTGGCTGTCACTTTCATCTTCTGTGCTGTGATTATATCGGATTTACAAGTAAATTAATGTTAATTAGCAATATAATGTAAAATTCTAGCTCTCTTCCAGCATCTACCAACAGGGGCTAATAAGGCAAACCAGCCAAACCCTGAGTCGCTTATGTCTCTATCACTTTCGGTCATCTTCTGTTTCTCACATGTCACATCTGTGCTGATGTCCTTCATATTAGATGTTTGACAGCAATAAAATGGTATTCCCTCTCTCCAGTCAATAAATATTTTATTTAATGTCTCCTTAATGGCCCATCAAATAAATTCATGAAGA